TTTTGACAATTTTAGTAGTTTTCGCGCAATATTGCGTGCAATGTGCAATTTTAAAAATAACAAAAACAAGATTTTCTCACAAACGGCTCCAAAGTTTTCTTTAAAAATTTCGTAAATATAGTGCTAAATATACTCTATATAAGATGACATAAAGATCAGTTAAATCTATTCTTTTTTTCTTGTTTTTTTGTTTTGTTTTGTTTTAAAATAATATTAGGCACAGGGGCGATAACACAGTGCAACAAATTTGAACTTTGTGTCTTGCCGCGAGACGAAAGTACATGTTCGTTACTAAATCACATTCGCTGATTGCCAGAATGAAATCAGAAATGTTCCATCACGTACCAATTTTTTTGTAGAAAAGGTACCACATATACCACTTTCGAGAAACTTGGAAATGACTCAATTACAATACAGTAGGAATCTGTAGTGTATTAATCTACATATCATGTAACAAAAATGATTTGTATTACAAAAATAGTTTATATTAAATTATTTATATAATTAATTGATCGTATTACAAAACAGAATGAAAACAGTACGAGAAAACTGAATAATGCTTGAAATGCACTTGAAAGTTGGAAACTTTTCATGGAAACTTTCCGTTTGTGGGTGGATGGTGATAATTCTAGTACGAGTGTCCAGCCAAAAGGTTTGATGACTATCTTCTCTTATATGGTCTTTCCATGGCCGCGATATCTTGGTAAAATCGCTTACCATGTTAGTCACATCTCCAAGATTAGGCGGGAAGAAATCGAATTGGGAATGAAGGAAATGTAATTTCAGAGACATGTTTCATGCCTTATCCTTGTAAGGTGTCCAGCATGTGTTCCGTCAGTTCCCTGCAATTATCAGACATTGTTTCCCAAGACTTCCGCATACATCTTTCAATGCAACTGTTCAAAGGTAATATCTTTCATCAAGTCACGGATCTGAGGCCCAATGAAAATTCGTTCATGAACTTTTTTAGTATTAATAGCAAGAAATGTAGATAGTAAAAATTGAAAACCCTGGCCTTCTTTGTCCGTTGGTTTCACAAAACTCTTCATAAAGCCCAATTTTAGATGGAGGGGTGGTAACATCACACTGTCTTCGTCAATTATAGATTTATGCGACAGTTTTGTTTTCACCAGGATTGAAAATTTCTCTCAAGGACCACTCTTTGACTACATAATAATCTTTCCTTGCCCTACTATCCCAGTGGCCCAAGAAATAGCAATAATTTGTGTAAGCGTCTGCATTCCTAGAAGAAGTCCCAGAACTCTGAGACGACCACAGATTTTCCATTTGTTATTCGAATAGCCAGTTTACCTAAGGAGTAGCCTCATGTTCTCGTAGTTTTCCTTAAACTGATCGGAAAGGACCAATGGTATTGAAGGTTTCTCGTTTCCGTTATGTAAGAGAGTGGCTTTGACACTATTAATTGAGGAATCTATGAATACGCGCCATTCTATCTGATTGTGAATCATTCAATTTTTTGTAAGCACCCCATTTGTGTTATTACCATATACCAAACTATTTGTGTCATTTTTCCATTCTGTTGGTGGTTTTGGATCTGGAAAAGAATCAGAATGCGGAACGGGGAAAATTACAGATTTCAAATTTGGATACGAAACTGTGTGTTTTGATTTAATTGAGATTCCTGTCACTTTCATTAACCAAAAGTTTCAATCTGTTATGTGGTCTCTAGGCTCCCTCACACAATTGTGGTACGGCAAATGGCATAGATAGGTGATTTCCATCCAACCGTGCTCATAAATAGCGGGAGAAATATGAGTAACAGTTCTGTTGTGACCGACACTCCTCATCTACCTTTGATTAAAAATACAACTCGTGTGTCTTATTGGGATCGGAGTAATGGGATGTCTTTGAGAATTAGTCCTAAACTGGCCACACACATAACAGAAAAGGTTTATTGAATTAACAGACTTCCTAGACATCGTTGAGTATAAGAACACAAGAATATGCACAAAAAATATACTTCACGTTTGCAAATTTACACAAGAGATACTGCGAGATCTCTCTGGATTGACTAATGCACGTGCAACTTCCGTTTACATCCCCCACGTGCTTATTTTACCCCCCCTCTCTAATCAAAACCCGACGCAATAATATTCGTAAAATAACATAATGTGATAAGAGCCGCGACAGCATAAATAACGCCACTAAAATTGCGTTTCTAGAAGAAAGTTTAGGTGATAGCGAAAAATTGTTTTCACTCTTGTCATCAGGGCACTACATAACAATCACATATTTTTGTTCTGCAGCAAATTTCATTTTCACACTGTGTAATTGGTACACTGACCCTACATACTATATAACAAGCATTGCACACGCACTAAATAGAGTTGCGGAAGAAATTTGTGGAAATTATACTGATGTAGATCAGTTAATTTCTGTAGTGGCCAAAACGTTCATCAAAGCTACATTACGAGTGCAAAACTTCAAGGAAATGGTTCCTGCGGTGCCATTGCCTCCCCATCCCATTATTACACGTTGGGACACGTGGCTTAACGCCGCAAACTACCACCGTACTAATTAAAAAACGTTTGAAGAGATTAGCGCATTCAATGAAAGCAAAGCGCCTCTATCAAAACTACCAAATCGTAGTTTTCAAGTTGTCCACGTCAAGTGGTTGTTCAAGTCAACCACACTGACCGGAGTTCTCGCTTGTATCAAAACCAAAAATTTTTAAAGTCATATTTTCATAAATTTTAGATCATAATTGCTTGCATATTTCAAACAAGTTTAGGTTATAAACATCCCGGTCCTAGTCCTAACACTCAAATTAACTCTCAAAAAGAAAAAATTATTTCCTGTTTATTACAGACTGTAGATATAAAAAGAAACAGAAGACTGCCAAAAACAGAAGACTGTATTTTAAGTAAATTATTTTTTATGTGAATTTTAAAATATGTATTCTTCAGTTATGTACAAATAGTTGTGATCATAATAAATGATACACACCTTTCATACTTGATTCACTAAGAAAACTGCATCATTGAATTAACAGTTTAGACACTTGAAATAACAATGAGAATCATCACCTCTGTGAATAACTAATCTAATAATAAATTCAATAATAATCAATGAAATGATTAACAAAATTGAAAACAAATGTAATTGCATCACAACTAACTTAATGCATTGATATAAACGATAATTTCATGTTTATAACAGCACCCAAATTTGCCCCCCCACCCAATAATAGATCCGAAATCTCGTCTCTGAATGCAGTACAAGAGTTTCCTAGAACAATGATAATGATTGTGGTGGGTGGCTCATGACGAAGAGGATACAAAAAGGAAGAGTGTGCACCAACAATGCACGAGGTATTTAAGGGCGTTAAGTCCGCGCAGCATTAAAATATTGAAATTTTGGATTCGCAGTGATTGGATACTTTACTGTGGCTCTGAAATAATTAAATCAGTCACAGTTACAAAATTATTATATTTTGAGCTTATCGGATATCATGAACCACGTGTTTGTCCCCAGAGGTTAACAAAACCGGAGCCGACTGTGATTTTTATCGGTGTTTTGTGCGTGCATGTGTGTACGCGGGGGGGGGATACCTCATCCTGGCGAATAAGCTGACGTATTTAATACCGTCCAGAATATACTCGACTTGTAGTCGTTGAAGTACGCTCGAATTCAGTGAACGAAAGAGAAAAGAACGTGAGACACTTCTTCTGACCCCCCTCCCCCGCAAAAAAATCACAACAGCAAAATGTAGACGTCCTTTTGGAGTCCACTGGAAGGAAATTGAGTCATTTTTATTCCTGAGTTAAACTTTGCAAATCGAGAGTAGCTAGAGTCGGGAAAGATGGAATGGAGTGTGAAAGGGGAGAAGAGTATGAGGAATTTGTATGTGGATTTTGAGTGAAGCGGTCGTAAGAGGAAGAGGGAGGGGAAAATACCTCAAGAGATATGTTCTCAAATAATGCACTGTAATGCAATACAAGAATATATGCCTCCGTATTCTGCCATTGTCCCAAAATGGGGCGCAACCTATTCAACAGTAAACATAACATCAGTTAAAAGTGATTCACTTGTTATTTTATCCGACTTATTTTATGTGACTGACTTGGAAGGCCTTTAGTTAATACCCATTAAAAACGAGCTCAACCCCCCCCCCCCAATACTGGCTTGAAAACGAACCTATCACATATACAAACAAAAAAAACCTCAAATTAAAAAAAAAAGCTCGTATTGAAAAGATGAAGGGGACAATACAAATCAAAGAATCTAGTTAAATAGTCTTGTGATTCCACACAAGTATAAATCAAAATTTAAAATACCGGTAGGGGCAGTACCAAAATATTGCACATTTATTCTTGCGTTCACTTTTGGGACACTAGCACTCACTCGTGTTTTGTTCGTATGCCAAAGGCTGGAGCATCATCTGAACTTCCTCAGGCGGTACTTGAACTTAGGAATATCAACGGTGTCTTAGATATTTCACCCCCCTCCCCTCCGAATTTGGAATAAAATGAGTTGCACAGACTCAATGATGTTTCACGTCAATCGCGTAGGCTGGAGTCTCGTCATTAAATTGGACATGTCAAGCGTCCAAATAGCGATGCATCAACTTGCCTTCAAGGTTTGAAGTTATAAACGCGATTCCACTGCGCCTTTCACAAGTGATCGGATTTCTTCGCGTTTGAGAGCCTTTTTTACCTTATAATTGGATTTAAGCCCTACCTTCACCTCTCCTGTGGACCACGTCGGCCTGCGTGTAATTTCACAGGGATACCTATATCCTTTAATTGCATTTAAGCAATCCCCCACCCCAAATTCATTCGCTTTTCCTGTCATCCACAAAGCAAATCTGGATGGTTGCAGCTGAAGTTATCTGGATAATATTCCATTACTCCTCAAACACAGTTTGGTTACTTATTCATGTTAATAAAGCATTTGTTAAATTCTGAAAACTAATTATGTAAAATGTACTTTCATCTGAAAAATTCAGAAATACAGAGGAAAATTACAAAACCAATTTTCTTCTCAGAACATTAATATGTTGGAAATTCATATTATGTTTACCTCCAATACACATTTTGGCATCAACTTACAGTGCTTCAAATGGTAAGAGCAGCTGTATCAGCAGAAGATATGAGGAAAAATAATGGAACAAGACTGACGGCTTTCTTCACAAAATGAAGTCAGAAGTATGCTACTTCAAAAACATCCTTCATTACAAAGAAATCTAACTCTAGAATAATTACATAACATTTTTAACACTGATATTGTGAATTAATTAAACAAGTCAATTGTAGTGTCCAATACAATAAAAATTCAGACAAAATACATTTGGTGAATTTTTATTTCTCATGCTCAAAACATTATTAACATCAAGACATGTCAATGCTGGTGTGATTCACTTAGTTTAAACCAATTTTGTACTTAAAAACCACTATTACACAGAAATAAACTAAATACAAAAGTAGCTGAAAATTTCAAAAAAAGGAGAAGAGTTCATCTCCAATCATCCTTCTTTTAAAGCGTTTCAGCCTGTTCCCTGATCAACTGATTGTCATCGGTAAACATTGGCAAAAATTAATTTATCTTACTAATCACTAAGTATTTCAGATTTAATCTACACAATTAAACTCTTAAAATTAGTTTACATTTTGCACCTGTGACACACTATACTTACTCATTTTATATAATTCACTGCCACTAAGAAACTACCACTAGCACATAAATTTGATTCTACCTGATTTCTTGCAATTCTGTGAGCAAATCCTGAGTGCTGGGCTAACATTTTCAATAAAACAATTACATGTTTTGAGGCACTGCAGACAGGAAACATTTTCTAATCTAAAAATTTATTTCCAAAGCAATGAGTACCTGGGAAATCTAGCATTACTAAATTTATGAACTGTCATTTATTATGTAAAACTGGATTGCTAATTAAGAAATGCTGATACACGTCACTAAAACATCAGTGCAGTAAACAATTGCACGAATACTATAAAAAACCATTTTTGCCTGTGTATCTCTACATCACATTAATTTTGAAATTCTGGGAATTGGCAACATATAACTCTTTTTATTATTATAAATTTCCTTAAAAATTCCTATCAATATAAGCATCTTTTTCTTTTGAAATCCTCAAAAGATTAACCTTCTGAATTTCAGTTTCGGATTTATTTGAACATTGAAATCAGTTTCAGTAATAAGGGTTGAACAAGGTACAAGAAAAGTAGTTATCACTTCACAGATGTTCAACATCAATGTTACTAATTGAGAGAGTAATTCTACAGAAATAAAAACAAGCAGGTAAAAGGAAGGAGTAATAATTAAAACAAATTTAATTTTTCATTGGAAATTTATAACAAGATAAAGACAATTTGATATTGACTGATATAAACTAAGGTAGAATAATTATAAATAGCGCTAGAAGAAATAATGAAAGATCAGATTAAAATGATACACCATATAGAAATTATAGAGAAGAAAATTGATATAAAAGATATCAAAAATTACTGTTCATATGAGAAATGGAAATACAATATAGAATAATATACCTGTACAATGCAAATTGACTTTCCAATAATTGCAGCTGCTCTGACTTGCAGAAAAAAAAAGTACTTCACAGATCCCCCAAACACTCATCATTCAAAGTTTTAACTACTCTTAACAAATCTGTAAGCAGAAAATGTCAGTTGAATGTCCACTGTATGTGAATATCTGAGAAAATGTAGAAACTAATTAATAATTGTTATTCACTTGCTACCAACATGGTACCTCATTGGAGAGGCAATTATGTTAAATTAGGATCTGCACAGGAAATGATCCGATTATGTTACCTTGTTACTAACAAATGAATTTTAATAATTATATTTGTTCAAGTAATTGTCACCCTGTACATTAATCAAACTGGTCTGATCAACTTGCTCTGAGCAACTACACTCCATTCCCGGTTAAGGTGGCGAGAACAAATTTAATTCTTAATGTTTTTTATACATGTCACACCATCAAATAGCAAATTTGTAGCAGTAATTGTTTTAATGTATGTAGTTTAAACTTTTTTACCAAGCTATTGTCAAAATGTTTCAGTAGTAATTTTTCAAAATGAATAATTTCACTGGTATGAATAGTAGTCTGATTGAAAGGTATCAACTATCAGAATACAACAAAATATCCGAATGTCTAGTGTGAATTTTTATTTACAAAAATTTTCTCGCACAGTTTTAACAAACAGTCTGATATTAGGAATTGAAAAGCGAGATAGCATATAATTAGAAAGGCAACAGAATTATATTTCCATACATTAAAAATATTAGATTCATTAAGCAGACTGTTGCAAACGGAGATTCTTTCCTCTTATTTACCACAATTACGATAAAGTTTAAGATGACTTTTTCTATCTTAGCTGCAAAAATTCAAGTGAATGTCAAAATTGAGAGAGAACAAATTAAAAGAACTGTTTTATAATGTAAATAAAACATTCACTTCACATCACAGGATTTTTGAAGTTAAACTGAGAATTAAATTCAAATGTATACTAACATTAAAATATTACATTTACAAATACTCTCCTGTGGTAAGATATTGGAAAGTTTGTTGGTGTCAAAACTGTACGTACTATGAATAAATGTAATAAAAAAAAAGAAGTAAATTTTGCTATTCCACATTAAATTTCAAAATGTGTTACTCAATTACCAAATATTACTGAAACCTTTAAACACCTAATTTTGCGGTGCACTTGAAATTCAGGTATCGAGCCCCCTACAGTAAGCCTATTAGTTAATGCTTGTGATTCAGTATTTCATTTCATCAAAAGTATGTTGAAAGTAATTACAATTCAATATCAATTTTATGTCACTTAAAGGGGGGGGGGGAGGAATCACAGAGGATGCAGAGATTGGTGAATTGAGCACTATTAAATGACAATGTTCAGATCCAATCAACAGCACTGACATTCACTGAAAACAATAGACTTGATGCATAAGACAAACAGTTTACAATAAATGTGATATGTTTCTGCATGGAACATGCCTTACTTGTTACACACAACTAAGAATGAACACAATCTGAGTTTTTAAATTTCATTAAGTTCACTGCACTTCATTTGAAAGCGAGTAAAGTATTATTTACTTTTCACAGTTAACTTGAAATATTATATACTTTTATTTATAGGTGGCTAAACTAGACCATTTTGAGCAAGTTACTTGTTTATTCACAAGCACGGTAGAGCAAGTAAGTTAATTCTACTAAGTACATAATGATCTTTTAGAAATTTATAGCATATGGTCTATCTTATCCAATTGCCTTTTTAACATTTTGTTGTATTTTGTCACTGTATGTAAGATAATTAAATGAATTATATTGTCTTCAGCAACATTCTTTATAACATCAGATATAATAAACATTTTATCAACTGTATGAAGCTTCATTGTATTGAATATAATACTCAGTCATTTAATCAACTTCAAACACAGAAGTAAACAATATATGCAGGCAAATCGATATGATAAACTACTATTATTGGACCAGATAAGAAGTATTGATTTTTCATCTCTTTTAAACTAAATATAGCAAGAGATGTTTCTTAATTATTTTAACCATATTCAGTAGTTTTCATTTCTTATGGTCCTTTGTACCCAAAACCTTTTTACCTTCTTCCATTGCAGAACATCGCATATTCTTATTTAAAGAATTTTAGTGTTTATCTCTCCTTCCAAAGGATACAGGATTTTTTTATCAAGACCTGAAAAGTTAATCTTTTGCTTTACTAATATCCATATCAAACTAGCATTTTCATTCATCTTGCTTCCATCTTTACATTTCCCTTCTTCAAACACTTTTCTCTTCTATATCCCTTATAAATATTACAAATTTTAAATGAATTAAAATCTATGGAGTAATTTTAATAAAATTGTAATAAAGTTAAATCTTCACTCCGTTTCTAAATTTCATTCTAGAAGTATGGAATAAATACATGATACACTTCACAATTTCTGTTTTCAAATCCTACCTTCTTTTTAACCCACTTAATCTTTTTTTGTGTTTTTGAATCCCAATTTTAAATTGACAGTTTTTTAATATATGTTTCAATTCACATTTACTTGGACAATTACAGTAGGACACTATTAAAAAAAGAAAAAAACTAAGGAACAAAGAAGAAATAAAGGTAAAGTTTGGCCGATAATCGATAATATGAAAATTATTTTGCTTCCACACAGCAAACAAAAAATTGTTGTCATTGTAGAGTGGACAGACTATAGTTTTCTACACAACAAACACATGAATCCAACATTCTTAAAATTTATTCATGAAATAAAACTAAAGATAACAATGAAGTCTTTCAAATTAAAAAGAAATGCACTTTTCATAATTAAGAATAACTACATCATTCACATTATAATAGTATCCAGTGTCATTACTTGTAAATAGAGGAAATATCTTTACCTTTAAAATAACTAAGAACATTAGTAATCTCAATCTGAACTGTCCAGACAATTCCATATTTAAATTTGTCTTCATTGCCATTTTAAAATAATGGCCTTATTTCTTAGAAATTAACTGCTTTACAGAAGTTGTAATTGTACAAAGAATGTCGCACAAGGTGGCCAAAATATCAATTTTAACATGGTACTATCCAGACACTCAGCTCATTCCACTGAATGTACATTCATGTAAAATATTGCAACTGAATCCATTTCTCATTGAACTTGTTCCAACTCAATGCAAAAAAACATATCGCTAGAGAGGCATGAAAATAGATGAATAGAAAGAGCAAAATACAAGAATATTCCACAAGAAATACTAATTCAGAAGTAGATTACTTTGGTCATGTTTATAGGATACATTCAAATCAGCTTTCCCTCTGCTTTTTCAGAATTACTAGAAAAAGGACTGATAACACACTGAAATATATTAGAGGAAAACCCAATAAACACCTCTTCCTTTGGTTTATTCCAATCTGTGCATCTTTTTGTTTTTACAACTGCTTGAACAATTCAATGCTCAATTCAAGTGATAAAGCTTGGCCTACAATATCTTCTGAGCACTATTTCTAATCGCTGACTTAAAGCTGACCTTACCATTGTAATTTCTTGGATTTGAAAATTTACTAACCCCATTTACACAAATAATTTTGATATAGTTCCTGTATGTTAGTTTGGAATGTCATGCAACAGCAAGTGCTGGTAAAACAATAGCTCTATGGTTCTCTTGTCCATCCCAATACAAGTTGAAAGGAATTAATATCCTTCACGAGAAAACAAAGGTCTGTTCATTGGATACAGTCTTCTGCATTTGCAATAGCTCTTAAATAGCTTTGTTGAAAATCATAATATAGATACCAACATGCAATGAAATTAAAATACAGAACTGATAACATCAACAAAAATGTGATATGTCACAAGATCAATTTGAAAGAAAGTTGAAGGAAATGGAACAGAATTTGAATATTTCTCATATCAAATAATGCTAAACAACAAGCTTCACAAACAAAAAATGTATTAAAGAATAATGCATTTTAGTAAATAGTCACACGCTCACAATGTTCTTTCCTTCTAATGATTACTTTTGAAAATAACAGACAAGTTACATGAGATACATAATTTATTTTATACAGGTGTGTTCTATCAGGTATATGTATATTCTACTAACAAACTGGCCAATATCAACAACCCCAAGTAGTAACAGTGCAACTCAAAAATTAAAAATTGTTTTCTTAAATGTCAAATAAAAAGCATTCAAGAAAGCATGGGTATAACTCCATACCCCCCCCCCCCAGTGATGTCAATATATTCTTACAGACTAGAAATTAAACTGAATAAGGTCAGCTTCATTTTATTTTTAACAAATATGTGAGACATTCTCTATGTAAACATCCACCAATCTACAATGTGGCAACAAGTGAAAAATTCTTTCTAAATATCACTGCAAATCTAAGAAAAATTAGAATAAATGATGCAAACTTGGAAAATGTGTTTTGTTTGTGATATATTTATATATATCCATCCATAACTCTGCTCTAAGACACAATGATGCTTGTGGTTTTACGATTTCAGTCTTCTTACTCGACTTTGGATATTTTATTTCAAGAACCATCATATATACTAGTATTAATATAAGAACGCAGTTGGTCATATGTACATAGTTTAGCCAAAGAACCATATCATATGCATTCTCGGCCATTTCCTTTCAGTATTATGAACTCCATACATGCTCACTGCTACCATAACATTCAGAGATTACCGCATGGTAAACTGAATATGAAGCAATTACGAGCTACTCAAGGGAGAAAATTTTTTAGCATTCTTCCATTAATACAAGTTTAAGCCAATTCATCATACCACAGATTACAAGAAATATTCTTAAGAACATTCACAATATAACACTATTGTGTTGACAATGTATACACATAACTGTCACGAATATAATTAAAATCCTTACAAATGATCATCATCGGCGATCCCTGTATCTACGATCACGATCTCTATCCCTATCTCGGTCTCTATCTCTTCTTTCTGATGTCCTCCGCAGAAACTCCTCCACTGATCGATCGTACTGAAAGAAAAATTTTAAAAAAACATGTCAAGCAAGGAATCAGAAAATAAAAAAGTAAATAAATAAATAATTTGTACACAAATATAAAGCCAACTCATTACATTAACACAATTCGTAATAAAATATAACCCGCAGAACAAGGTTACAAATAGTATACTCACTGATCTTTTATCAGATCTACTGGATCTCATTTGTGTGGAATATTCCGGTAAAGGTGGTCCTTCATAATAGCGAGGAGGCGGAGGCAAGGAATCTACGAAAGGTGGCTGAAAAACAACCATAATTACTCAATAAATGTTGATGGAATTAACTATAACACTGAATATTTATAATTATTTTACACTATACACCCAGGAGAAAAGTGTCACAACTCAAAATGTGGCTTCTTTACATTTGTTTAAGAGTACTTGATCATAAGTCTCCTCCAGAGGTCAAGTTACAGATTCACTCTTGTTCTCAGAAGTTACATGACAAGAGTTTGGTTCACTCTTTTACAGGAAAAAGGCAACAACACACAATATCACTTATTGAAGCAAACTCTTTTCTGATGGGCTCCTGATATATGAAAAAGGATTAAAATTACCAAGGAGACTTAAGACATAAAAATCATTCTTACCGGCGGCGGGTATGGCATGGGAGCAAGAGGTGGCCCGCTTCTGGCATGGAAATCTCTCATGAAATCTCCATAGGCCTGATGAACCTAGGAACAATAATTTTAACCCATAACTCAAATATCTGGTTTCATTAGAACTTGAGTTGGGACACTATTTCTGATATTTATGAAGCAATTGCACAACATACCCCGTTAAATGTGCGGTCTCGTTCTGCATATCTGTTAGGTGATCTTCCTCTTCGATGCTCTTTGAAGTAATTTGACATAAAACCAGGACCTGTAAATCATTTTTCAAATTAAGAAATATCTTAACAAAATATGATTTAGACGAATCAGTCCTTCCGTTCTTCCAATTGTGAGCCTAATACAAAATCAAGAAATTTGTATGTCCTCAATTAATTTACAAACACTACAATAGTGTAACAATTCTATTCACTTTTTAAGTTGAAGGTGGCCAACTGGTTCTTTCAAATATTTGAAGTTTTAATCTAGCATTCGCATTGAAAAATCAAACCAAAAACACAATCTTAGAAAACCTTCCAAAAATCATTTACCATTAGCGTTTGCTCTAGTCTGATAACCAACTAGACTTATCCCTAGATTCAAAAAGAAATGGATTCAACCATTTTCAAATATTTCCAGATTGCTAACAATAAATTGAAATTAATTAAAAAATATTAACATTACACACAAAATTTGATGCTATAATACCACATGTCCACAAAGGGACCAATAATTTTCAATTGTTTTAGAAATAATTTTAATTACAAATCCAAATTTCAGCCTATTTACTTACACTGACCATATAATCTTGAGAGCATATTAAGGAAAACAATTTTTCTTTATCAACAACTTAATGATCTTAACAATTGTCACAAACTACGATTCACAAAACAAAATTACATACAATTATTTTTATTAAGAGTATTGTGGTTCTTCTAATTATTGGCAGTTATAAGAGAAAATGATAGCACAAATTTCTACAAGTCCATGATCAAGTCCTCCACATGAGAAGTCACGTTTCTAATCAGATGGTGTTACATTGTGGGCTTACTATACTTATGAAACTTACTATACTTAATTGGGGCTCAAATGTTATTCAATGCAATACCAAAACTTTGGCTAACCAGTCAAACATGGTATCACCTGCACCACTATAAACAAAATCAATCTCTCAATCACCATGGTTCGACACCTCTCTTTTCATTACCAGTGATAATCTCATGATTTGCCTATGAAATGTGGTTACTTCCAGATCTGGTTAATTTTGAACATTGCTAGAAAAATGTTAACTAGCTAAGATGGATTGAAATAACTTCAAAATGGGTTAACACACATTACTACACTAAGAAATTTTATAGGATTATACTGATTTACAAATTATACGAATAACTGTAATTTGCAGAATTATTTTAATGACCGAATCAGATCCATCGACAAGAAATAAATAAATAAAAGCATAACAAACATTTTATATAACATTTCAAAACATCCCCCTCTCAAAAAATCTTAATTGCACAAGTGATACACGTCTATTGGCCACATTAATTTATCACAGTTTTCTACTAGCTTTATTGGAATAAAGCACACAAATTAATTAGGCAAGTTACAAAGTCGATAAATATTACCTCTGCTTCTTTTGTGCGGTGGTTCAAAGCCATCTTCCATGTGACGACGTCTGCCCCTGCTGATATAATCAAGATTCGTTAGTCCTACTTAGATCCAGAATTGAGACAAAATTTAATCATGTATAAATAACAGCTTAAATTATAAACAATTATAAAAGTACATAAACAAGTTGCATCCAATTAGTATTATGATTCTAAGGGTGAACTATACAAATTAACAATGGTACTTCTGCACACATTTCATTTACACTTGATATTAGATCTCCCATATGCCAAGTTACTTTCATCCACAGCTTTAAATAAAAATTATTGTGAGCATACTTACTGCTCTACAATATGAAAATAAATTTTACATTCAACAACTTGCAGTGATTTGTGAAACTAATTCAATTTTTTTTGAAGATGTACTAAACAAAATACAAAATGCTCAAAAAAGTGGAAGGTAAATACACTGCACACAGAACTTTGTCAACTTACACAAAAATAGAGATACAATTTTTTCCAGAATCCATAATCAAAATTCAAGAGATGATGTACTCTACATTTATGCTAAATGTAGAGCCCTAATAATGTCCATACAATGCAAATATACAAATATTGCACAGCACAAAATTCTCCTCCATTGAAGAAAGAAAAAAAAAAAATAACAAAAATCCAAAACACTGAAAGGTAAAAAAGTGTAATAATGTATTTATTTGTTTTACTACTTCAATAGATTCATAAAACTGTGCAAGTTTAATTCACAGAATATCCATGTTATTTGAAATAGTCTACACCAGTTTACCAACAATTATCACTTATATTTCTCAAATTAGATAGGGTTCTGTGAGGTGGCTCTAAAGAAACAACTACAAATGCTGAGTAATTAAAAAGACAAAAAACAAAAGTAATGTTTGAATATAGACAGGTTATCCTGAGAAAGCAAAAATGGAATTATGAAAATAAAAAGAATAGAATTCTTTGGTATTATTTTGAACTTTATCATATGCCAAATCCCTTTTGCAACTTTGTATCTTGTCATCAGAGAATGATGAGTCTTCATTCGTTTTCAAATTTTATGAATGTAAAGCCAAATAAGCAACAACATTAAAGAAGTTTGAGTTTGAGAACAAACTTTAAGCAAAGATGTCTTGGAAGGAATTCAACACCTAACAATTGGCCAACAATAATATTGGCACAAGTAATAAAATGCATAAATCATTTTTAATAGAGGGTAGAACATTTTTAGAAATTTTAAAGCTGCTAATATGTTTAAGCCAAATCAATACACTGAAAACATAATTTATTGATTACTTTTACTTTAATTTTTTACTTTTCATTAACAATGTCAGAAAAGAATTATAGGACTATTTTCCATTACTTCTAATATATGGTTTGTATTATTTTGCCAAAATATATGAATCCACACTCAACATTGATGCAATACTTTTTCTAAACTTACGTAATCCACAACCATGAAACATATTTGTAATCAAAGGTGGTTGAGAACTATTTTCTAAGCTTCAAGCTTCCATATTCGACTCCCAGCAAAAAATCATGAATGTTTATAACAATATATTCAAAAAGTCCTTGTAAGAAGATTATCAAAGTTCTTAATTAATTTTAACAGTAAGATGATTAAAATAGCAACATTTTTGATCTGTTCCTCTTAAATTTAAAATTTGGCAGTTAGATGGAAGAGAAAACATGATAATCTTTAAAACAATTATAAAGGAGAAACTGTCAAATTACTATTCAATTATACATGAGGTACAACTCTCCAAGTGAACTTGGAAGAGATAAATTTGATCCTATTCAAAACACAAAGAACTTTGACTAAAATTGAACAAATCATCCCAGAGAATCAAAAACAAATAGTGATTTTGGAGAAATCATGAAAGGTAATTAAAACAAACAACACTTTCGACAAATGAAATTAAGCACAAGTATCAGAGGATACTTACAGCCAACACTTCCTTTGTGCTATGTAAGTAAATTTTTCCACCACAAAATACTATTTAAGCAGTATGAAAGATCATTGAGAACAATTATTGTTTTCTAGACATTACACATGAAACTGCACTCAACGTATCAACAGAGGTCTACAGCACTCACTGCCTTGAAAAACATGGAATTGAACTGCTTAAATACATGGTGAAGGTAAAGTGAACAAAAATTGCATTTACAAGTCTGCCACTCACCATGAATGAAAACACCAAAGTGAAATAATAAAAAGAGTTTTATCACGAAAATAGATTGGAATTAAATACGGCACGTCCCTTTTTATCAAATAGAATGGTTTTAAAAATTACTTGAAATTTGCATTTAAATCTGTCTTCATAAATATCAATATTGTCACACAAATTTCATTTGAAAACAATATATACACTTCTAAATATTGAAAGTTACACACTAGAAACAAAGGTTCTTAATGCAATCTGTATTTTAGAGTGTGACTGTGATATCCTTATATTCATTATGAATTACTTGAAATGAATTAATGTTTTTAGAGATAATCAAGCAATCTCTTTTTCTGTGTAAAATTTATGTTTTTTTAATACCAAAAATTTTTTAATGCGACAATAGTAAAAACTGGATAACTTTCACAAGTCAGAAGGAGGGAAAAGAAAATAATTAAAAAAAAAAAAAAATCCCTCTGATTCATTTGAAATATGGTACTTAGAACACAATGTCTTATCTTAAAAATAATTATTAGAGAAAAAGTATACCTGTTGATGCCCATGTATACTAAATAACAATATTTCATTACATAAAATTAAAGCGAAGAAATTTATAAATGGCTTTCTCATACATTCTGAATCTTATATTACTTATGCCAATATTTTTCTCTGTTGCTTAGAGAAATCAATTCAGAGAAAAATATTGAGCATTGAACTTGAAAAAAATAACATACATGAATTCTGAGAAGTAGTGATACGATATCCCTTCTATAATTGGAAAAAATATATTCAAAACTGGTCAGCATTTCTTTAGTAAGTCACAATTCTAGTAATTTTTAATGTTTCACAAACAGAAACAAGTTCTACATTTATGGGGGAAATTTATCATCAAAATCACATGAAAAGTAGGAAGTAATATTTCAAATCCTTTGGCTACTTATAACAAGGACCATGATATTTACTCTTTAAACTTTCCCCAAAATACAAGATAAAATTGTGTATCTATATTTGAATGTAGTTTTGAGTGTGTCAGCACTGAAGTAGAGAAACTCACATCAAATTTTTGGATTAACAAGCTCAAATATTTATGGATTCTGCAGATCCATTTTTAGGACATCATAAAATATTCAAGGAACATAAAAACTACTGTAGATATAAAAACAAAATACTTCAACCTAAAATTCCATTGACTGTTCACAAATATATGTGATTTATTGTGCTACTTTCACAAAATATCAACATTCACCAATGGGGAATGTAATTGCCAGAATTTCCTCAAATAAAACGCACAGCAAATTGAACCACTAGATAAATTCGAAAATGTTAAAACCTGGAACACACAGACTATGACACACGATTATCAATTTTCATCAATAATTTAAATTCCTCAATTTCATGCTAGATGGTAGTAATTGCCTTGTGCATGTATATGTATTAAGTTTTTACTGAATTTTGTTTCCTCTCTAACCAGTAAAATGCTGCAATTGTCGTACGCAATAAATTAAAATGATATGCATAATGATTTACAAGTAGAAATTTATCTCCTTAAAATATTGACCTAGTGATCCAAATGTTAAACATTTTTCATTATCTTAAGCATATTTTAAAAATGTATCTCAAACTATTATCCAAATTATAAATTTTTTATTTCTTGAATACTACCCAAAAGCAACACAAAGTCTAACTGAAAATATATGTTTGAAAGTAATAATATGTTATAATTCCCTCAGACTCATTTCACATACCACGCAATACAAAAGCAAAAAGTTAAATAATTAGTTTAAGAAATATATTTACAACTTACGCACTCAGAAGAAAAATTCAAATCTAACACGAACTTAATTACCATTTCTTAATTTCATTTCTCTCTGGAATGCTAAATTTTCACACAATCATAAATGTGAAACTTGATTAACCTTCTCTTTCGCAATTACTAAACTGCAAAATTTTCACAACTACTACAACCTTTCAATTTATAGACATTTCTGTTTGTGCATACACTTCTCGTTTATGAAAATACAGTTTTGATATACATCTCTGTGTCCTAAAATATCACATTATTTTCTTCGATATTACCTTAAAATAAATAAAAAGGAAGCCATTCTTTGTAACACTGTCAATCCCTTAGAATGGAGCACTCTTTTTAGATTTCATTTTAATTCACAAACACATCTTTAGGTAATCGGATGTTTTTAACACAGAAATACCCTACACATTTGATTAAATTGCTTCTCAGCACAATACCATACCTGTGTACTCACCATGGGTATGCTGACATTGCTGCCGTTTGTAGCAAAACACTAATGCACGACAGAACTGTCACTCTTATAGTTCATTTAATAAAGACATGCGATAACACTAGAGCAACAAATCATTAGTTCGCTTCTTTTCTTTTGCATTTCAACTTCTACATATGGGAAATGGCTTAAATCGGCGCAAAATAAAATAAACTGCTCCACCAATGAACTCACTTGCAATGAACTATTAACGCTCTTGCTTTTGTGAAACATTTGAGAAAAATGTTATCATTTATTGAAACCTAACTGCAGGAAGAGCACCTTCAACCAAACCAGTTCCATCAAAACACAGACAAACCAGAATCTTCAAACATCCACCGCACTAGATGGTTCACTGTCGTACTTTCATGTGACACTTCACCAGAGATGTGGAATAATCCCTTTGTGAGTGGCAGAGCCATTTCAAGCTATCAATCCTTTTACAACAGAAGATAACATTCAGTCCTAACACTTCCCTGAGCCAACAAAATAAAAAAAAGTGACGGAAACCAGGAGAGCCACTCACGTTCAATATTCATTAACACTGGCACTGGACCACACCTCAAAACATCCTTACACCCAACCGAAGCACCTTTCAAGTTCTAATTAGAAGAGATTACCAAAAGGTCTTTATAAGGGACAGTTCTCAAAAGGAGGAAAGACACTCGACCATCTTCACTTTCTCCTCTGTTGTCAAAGCTAAAACAATATTGGTTATGACTGCCTACAAGCCCAGGCAATGACATAACATGCTAAATTCAGAATACACGCAAGTATTTGAATAGCACCATCACTGTATCACTTATAAAATGTTCAAGAATAAACAGAGGCAATGCCCCTTTTCTCCACAGTCCCAAACAACAACTACATAGTCCTTTGTACCTCCCAGAAATGTGCCCCATGCCACGGCCAGAGACTGCTAATGGCCTATGTTGGGGCCTATGCACTCGAGGCCGCATTTGTCTTGAAGCTTCTTTAGATTTGCGCAGAATTGGGGTCATGTCAATCCCGTCATCCATTGGGAAAAGTCTGCACAATTCTTCAGCAACACGAGGCTCAATTTCCTGAAAGTAAACACCAAATGAATGTTAGAAATTTACGCACACAAACAGAAATGATCACAGAAATCTGTTTCTACCTAGTTGTAAACTAAGAAAAAGGCATTTATATTTGAATCACATAAGTAAACAAGAAATTAAAACACAACACAGTTTTCCAAATACAATTACTGGTTGTTGCCTCATATTCTAAAACATTATAGCATGTCTTGTTTCATAGACGTGTCACCTGAATAAATACACAATCACTCAGTTGATTTTTACTTTCTTTTACGTACTTATGTATGTCAGAAGACAAATATTGAACACCTGAAAATGGTGAATTTTCAACAGAAAATCTCTTACTGTACAGTCCCAGTAAATAAAAACTAGATAAATCCTGTTCCAACATATAGTAAATTACTTTCTTTAACACATTGTGTCACCAGAATCCATGATTTGTGGGTCCTTGATATCCAAAAATCGACTGATAGCAAACCTGTCCATCTGTGTGTCTGTGGTCAAACTTAAACCAGTCAGCCGATTTTCTTCAAAATCGATAATTCCCAATCGATCTGAAAGAACTCTAGGCTTTCAGAGTATCTGCCAGATATTTGGATTTTTGAGGGTACTTTTACAAAAAGCCTCAAAAACATTATAAACATTTTTCTCAGAAATGGCTCCAAAACTTTTATTATACTTCGTCCTTGGACAGAGCATAAAAAATACTTAAGAAAATGGTGCAGGTTTTATGACAGTTGAAATCCCCGATTTTTCAAAAATTGCTGAAGTGGATTTTTTTGGGGTGTCTTCCTACAACTACGATATTGAAGATTTTTTTCTAATGAAATTGTTTTTTTAAGACAGATCTTGAAATAAGCTCATTTACAATTTTTTGAAAATATGAGTAACTTTTTCATAATTTTGCAAGAAATATAAGCAATTTTAAAATTTTTTTAAACCATTTTTTTTCCAAAAACAGCTTCACACTTTCTCTAAATCTTCTCCTCCCATATACCAAGGGATGGTAAAAAATATAGTGCTCATAGCCTTTTCGTTGAACACACTGCATATTCAAAAATTGCAAGAGTTACCATTTCGGTACTACAAAATTGAAGAAATTTTTTATTAGACTGTCTTTTTAAAAAAAATCAGCTCTTTAAAATAGGTCATGTACAATTCTTTGAAAAACGATTAGTTTTTGCATAATATGTGCTTGGAATGAATGGAATTTTGCTTGAATGAATGGATGGAAAGAAAAAGGTTTTCTCAAAAACTGCTCCAATTTTTTTTGCTTCCACAGAGAGAAACAACACTTGCAGTTTTATTCAGGCTGAATTCTGAATTTACAAAAATTTCAAATTTAGAAATAATGCAAGAAAGTTTGTGCTGTGGTAGCACCACTATTTTCAATTTCACATGGAACACTATTTTGCGTATTTTACACTGAGACTTACTGTGGAATTACACGCACATCAATATTTTTAAACATTCATTTACCACATTCAAATAAAACCATATCTAAAATAGATCTTCCATTGAAAAGAGTACTTCATAATAACAGCTATTTGTATTGTTCACAGAAACAAATGTATTTTTTGCTACATTTAATAAAAGAAAAATTTGTATTATTTTCTAAAATCCTATACAAGTCTCATTGATTATGATCTATAGGGTGCTCGTTACTGGATTTACTTTACAACTATACACAGATTTTCGATGTCTTTCGTGCTATCAGTATAACAAATTATATTTTTAAAATTTATGATATATAATTAATTTCCTACCTGGCCATCCCTTCCTATCTTCACAGGTTTACCTTCATTCCAAGGATTGTATAAATGTTGTGTCTTGGAAAATGGTAATTCTTTTCTAAAAATATAAACGTCACAAAAATTATTTTATAAACTTTATGAGATGCACATGTAAATGTTCAGGAAAGTCACATGTTATTTTATGAACAATAATGATAGTGGTATCAGAACAATGTTTTTCCCATCAATTTAACTAAAGGACACTCAAAAATAATTTGCAGTAAAAAATACTTTTTTTAAAGATAATATTAATGAAATTTGAAAATCAACATTTCAACTTTAGTAACATAAATACAACATGCACCCAATGCTAGAAATGGTAATCTTGAAAGAAAAAAAAGTGATAAAAGAGCTATTTCAATTATATTTCACAAAAAAACGAAGTCAGAAAATATCAATTACCTTCAATATAACAGTAATCAATACTAACCTGCAAACCCAGTCAACTTTAAATACACCACCTAGAGCATTTGCTGATAGGCCTGGGGGCAGCACCCAGGAAATAGGAGGCACATCTCGACGTGACTCACATTCCAACCGAGCAAAACCTAAAGAAACCAATAAGTAGTAGACATGCACTTGTCAGCAACACGACATACTAGGAAAGACTAAAGAAAATATATTACTATTCTCAGAATGATGGATAACAGTTGGAGAAAATCAAGAGACTATGAAAAAAAAAAAAGAGGTTACCTGCAAACTTGCCACTTTCTTTGACTGAATAAACCAAAAGAACGTTCCGCGATTCCCGAAAAGCTTGATTTAACTTTGCTTCATTTTGTGGAGGGGTAGACCAAACACCTTTGGCTTTAGACAATGTTATGTTTTCAGCATTGTTACTTTTAATTACAAAAAAGCGAGCATCTCGAAACAAATAATTCAATTTTGTGATGTAATCTGCAAAACAAACATGTTTATTAAGTAGAATCAAATAATATCCATATAATCTTTATAAACCAAATCTCACTGTTTATAAGCAAATTTAAGAGTACATTCTTCGAAAATTAGCCAGAACAAAAGGTAGGTGTTCCAATGAATTTTTTTTAACAGGGAAAGTACGGGCCTTCAAGTGTGCTTACGTAGCAATTAACTCAACAAGTGAGAATGGGACTAGAAGTTAACAAATTCATCATACATAAGCAATCAACATCCAAGAACTATACTTTAATTGTTCCAGTAAGAAATTCTTGAAGCATTCATTAACTTAATGTGTGTAGAGGCTTCAAATAGCTTGCAAAGAATTTGCAGTGGGTTTTTTGTACGCATCACCACAACAGGTCTCTCAAACCTCTACTTTTTCATGTTCCCCACCTACAGATATCCACAATCTGAAACCTCAAAATTACACCCACCATAAAATGGAAGCCCCAAAAATTTATCTCCGAATAGGGAATGAATTTTGTTATGCCCTACTTAGGGAAATGTTTTTCAGAAAAATCCTGCAAATTATTGCACTTATTCGAACATAACTATATTCCAAAATTATATACATATATATTTATACACATTCCAAAACAATGAAATAATTTGACTTCTATTACATAGCTGAGTTTTACATTCACATCAAACCATCCAAAGAAAGTGCCCTCCATTTGAAAAGATACCTCTTAACACTATAGCTAATGAGAATTGCTTGCTTAAAGCTGACAAAAGATTACCGTATTTACCCAAACATAAAACAAGTTTTGTTTATAAATATGTCAGTCTAAAAATGGAGGGGTTGTCTTGTATTCACAGCCTACTTAAGCCTAGTCTGTTTCGGTTTAAGCTTTTATATTGCCATTCCATATCTTGAAACTCAAATGTTGGAATAACAAACTGAGAAGACAGAAAATATGCTGCACGTATCTACAACACACACTATTATATTTTTGGTCATATTCTCGGCATCCCTCGTAAATTTGCTGGGTAATTCAGACCAATATTTTAATTTTAATGGGCCAGTAAAGAGAGAGTCTCAAAAAAATGGCATTGTATTACGTGAAACAACGTGAAAATGAATGCTGAGATTTTGTTACGATGCATTTTTGACGATACCACATTGAAACTTGGTTCGATACTTTGCGAGTGTGAATCTGCAATTTGAACTGTTAAAGAAACGGATGCCATCAACAAGTGCGGGACAGATAGAAAACCTGGTGACAGAAGGGAAAAATTTTTTTAGGTAGCGTCTGTTGAAAGACTCAGAATGACGCAAATTCAATGGGCAAAATTTTTAGAAGTGCCTAAAAAGACAGAAGGTATCACAGCAGGGAAGGAAGAGAAAAAAGAAAGAAATATTGACACATGTGAAGAAGATAAGGGTAGTGACAAAAACCATGATTATGATCATTTTAGGGAACAAGGAAATGATAGTTCAGCAATAAGTTTTAACAGTCTCATCAATAAGGCAATTTTCTTGTCAATAAAACAATTTGGAATTGTATTGTGACTGAACAGTAAGAATTAGTTTAAAATTTAAAAAATTCTTAGCAGGCCTCTTCAAAATTTGGAGGTAGTCTTATATAGAGTCAACTTCTACTCGGATAAACACGGTAATTGAAGAATGTAGAAAGAGTCTCTCATTAGCTCAACAAGAGATAAATTCAAACTAAAACAACTGCAAACCTGATTCATTACCGAAGGCTATAGTTACAACTAAAACTTGATAATGGCCATTTGATATACTCAATAAATCGCTTGTATTTAAGAACCATACCACATCAAAAAATTAAAATTACAGTATTTTAATAAAAACACAGAATACATAACTAATACAAACTGGCAAAATAGTTATACTTGGCAGAAACAAACATGCCAGTATTTTCCAAGTGCATTAATCTTTTATTACAATTACCTATTAAATCATTACATACCATATGATTTAGTTTTGCGAACAGTTTTGGAACGTTTCGAGCTGTGACCTATGCAGAGAAACAACATTAGATATATGAAGTGTACAAAAAAAATGTTATAAGGAATGTATTAATAATGAAAATAAGAATGACAATGCATTATTACCATTTACAATCTTTTCTAAAATCAACACTTACTGCTATGAACAGGACTTCTACGCTCATGAGAACTTTTTCGTTTCCTTTTCACAGCACTGCTTCGAGGCTCAACTAAACATAATTCAAGATTAACATAACAGAAGAATCAATTACATTGGTTATTCAAATTCCGAAAATAATTGTTGCACCAATATTTCAAAATCTGCTAAAATTATTCTTAAAACAAATCCAGAAAGCACCCCTTTCAAATCATAACACTTACCTCGTTCTCGCTCCGATTCTGAACTACTTGATGTCATGCTATGTAAACTTGAATTTGAATCTGAGGATGATGAACTAACTTCACTTCTGGTATCAAATTCTTGTGAGGAGAATTTTGATGCCTCTGTGTCTTTGAATTCTTCAGTTTTGTGGTTTTCTTCAACAAGTGTGGTGTTATGCTCCTCTGAGCTACTAGGATCCTTGGTTTCTGTGTAAAATCAAATTTACTCCAATCAGAAGTTTGGACAATGAAATATAAGGATCATCACATTGCACATGAGATTATTTATTTATTTATTTATATATATATATATATATATATATATATATATATATATATTATATATATAATAATAAAAATATTGGTTTTGAACGTTCTTCGTCCATCTCAAGGACTTTCATTAATGCAAACACAAAAGTAGCAAAATATAATTTAGAAAAAGTCTTAAAGAAAATAATGAATAATGTAGTTTGAAGAAAAAAGGAAGGTCAGAAAGAAATGGTTTTTCCAACATGAAATGAAAGTGGCAAGAAAAATTTCTCAAAAATATTGAATCCACTTAAACAATGGAGAAAAGAGGGACAGAGAGACCACAAGGAGACTGGCTACACCAGAAGCTTGGAATGCCTACATACACAGCAAACACTTGGAAAAAATCCACCAGTTACTGGGAAAAAAGAACAGTGAACACATCAGCAACAACGGATTATTCTTATTATTATTATTATTATTATTATTATTATTATTATTATTATTATTATTATTATTATTATAACTAATTCACAACCATCATGTAAAAAATAAAAAGTTTTAATAAATGCCAATGGCTCATCTCCCATATTATTACAAACGTGGAGGAATCTGCTCCATTCTCTGGAACCCAGCGAATGACAACACAGCCGGGGAAGGAATGATGTATATTAATAAATTCAATCACTGGCACTTCACTACATGCGACCAATTTCATGATGGCTTCATGACTCTGGCTTTCAGTTTATGCCATTACCATAAAATGTTCTTTAACCTTTCCAATGCATTTTATGTCAAAATACTTCAATTAATGAAAACATGCCATTCTCATATGAAGTATGAAACATAATAGCATATTCCTGCCACTCATTCTCAGCAATTGTACACCAACCTCTCAGAGAGAATTTGTTACATGAAGGGATATTACTTAGGTCCCCAAAATATCAGTATACTGGTATTTTACTATACCATTCAAATAAGTAGATAAATCATGAGATCTTACCTCTCTTGTTCATGTCTGGTAAACTAGTGGTATTTTCTTCAGGCTCAGGGGCCATGGATGTTTGCTCCTCAACTGACTCTTCCACAGTGCGAGAAACTTTTTCTGAAAATAATTTAACAATACTGTAATGCTAAAACACAACGTAAGACAAAATAATCTTTTATTCAAATAACAGGTTTATCAGCTAGCATGTAGAAAAACCGATTTTCAGAAGAAGGGTTATTTTATTTATTTTGATGATTTATTTTATTGAATAATATTCTATTATTATAAAGTGATTTAATGATCATACATTTAATATAGACTTAAATGGAAGCAAGTTTCAATTGCAAATGATTGTGATTTCTTTAACACCAATAATGACAAATACAGTGAAACGGCAAATTTACTGGGACTAAACTCGGTTAATAACTTGGATTAACAATAACTATCAACATACTGTGTATGCATCTAGTTGTTCTTGCATCGCGTCTTCAATTAAACATGGCAACCCAGAAGAGACATAAAAATTATGAGCCATTTCCACAGTCTACAGAAACTATAATATAATTGAATAGTTGTTCTATTTCTATTTTACCCATATACTACACTATTATTTTGTTGCTTATTAAGAGAAAATATATTGGTGCAAAATTACATGATTAGATTGATGATTGATATGACTGATGTGATTAGAGACATATTTCAAATATTTTTCTTTTTCAACATACTACTCTAACAATCAATAAACATCCAAAAACTGCACTTACCTTTAGGTTCAACATCTTTTGGTGACTCTTTTGGAGCGGCCTCCTTGGGGCTTAGCTTCTCATTCTTGTTGTAATTTGTCTGAAACAGTGTCAGTAATAATAGCAACAGACAAATAATATTTTGCTAGACCCAGGAAGTTCAAATTCAGATTACATTTTATATAATTTTAACATGCATGGCAAAAATATTCTTTTAAGTTTATCAGTGCTTTTCTTTTACAAATTCAATTGGTAGATGTTTAGAACACTACATTTTTTTCACAAATTACATCATTTACAAAACTAGAAGTTAGACTATCACGAGAAAAATTTCTTACTCAAAGAGATCCTGCATAACATTTAAGAATTTGAACTTGACTCCATAATTTTGCATTGAGGCATTTTCATGAAAAAACCTTAAAACTAATTTACTAAATTTATTTTACCTTTTAATGACAGTGTTTGATAATTGTAAATCAAAGAACAAAACATTCCCGAATTAAAATGTAAGCTATCACTATGAATCACAACAAACATAATAAACACAACCTATAACAATCACACAATTTTTAACTTCTGCGAACGACCATTCCAAAAGCACAAAGAATATTTAACAAAAATGAAGATGCAAAATTATAGTTATTACCTCCATTTTTGCTTCATAATCCCCAATGCAATTCAGCCAAACAGAGTGCTAAAGACATTACTCTCTGCTTAGGCTGCGCCCTTATGTAATAGTATGAATGTAATTTTAATTTAATTAATTTTTCACGAGAATAACACAAACCACTATTTCATTAGATAAGAAAGAAATACCTAAGAGGATATGCTGTTCAAAATGAAAATGTTGAATACTGAACTAAGAACTAGTACCACACAGCCCCCAGTAATTTACAGCACCTATAACAAGTCTTTAAGCAGTGATGAAATTTGGAATATGGCAATTCCCATACAATGTATTATATAATTTTTCAATCACAATATGAGATACATATGTAACTGACATTACAAAAACATATTGCCATAAATAGCTCTGAAGATGTTTTCGAAACACAAAAACCTCATCTTGCATTTCTGCAAAGAAAGTAATGGCAGAAAAAAATTGATTTGAAAATTTGAGTTGCTAGAAACCTTTTTGGACACAGGAATTAACACAAAAGAAAATAATAAAGTAGTCGGTAAAGTATCTAAGACTCTGAATATGTTTTGTCTTTACCACAAGAAGCTAAATGAACCAAACAATCTTATTTTCTAACAAATTTCCCTTCAGCATATAATATTTTTCTTCTCTACAGCACATAAATCACTACCACAACTTGCTCCACACCCCAACTTCAATGGGAACAGAAAAATTAATTTCACTACAAAAATGTATCTACTTACTTGTAATTCAAATAAACTGCTATAATGCCTAATGCACATTGATATTTTTATTTTTAGCAGATATTTTTGTAGAAAAATTGTTCTATCATTTATAATGAACTGTTTAAAATATAATTATAAAAAACATATATACAAGTGTATTCCTGAGTAAGTAGCAGTACACCTTCTGTGTACCTGTTTTTGCGAGGAATTCTAATATTGACTTAAATGTTATCGTTAATATCAACACTTCATATTAAAAAACGTATCTACTACTTGTCATCAAAATGAACTTTCTCCAGATTTTAGTACCTTACAAGTGCACTGCAGCAGCAAAAACGCTGCTGAACAAAACCACAGAAAATGGTTATCCAAAATGTAGCATGCACACTGCTCAATAACAAATAAAATTCTACTTTTGTATAACACTGCAATCAATTAAATATTTTTACAGAAACAGTCCTCATGAATACTGCAATAAAATTGTATTGTATTTATACAGTACAACAGCTCTTTACATAACAAGAACATCAAAAAGTTACTATCCCACAAAACATGAATAGCAAATATTCAATGGCAGAGTGCTTCTTCCTTGGTGCAGCACATCAGCAACTGTGTTTTAAGAGGTGATGCACTGAATGAAAATTCAAGCAGTATGAAAGTAAGTGGAATTCGAAAAGAAAATTTGAGCATTTTTCAATCAAAATCAAAACTATTTCATTGTTTTTGGATTTTCCCCAAGTTCTTGAGTACGAAAAGCACAGACATCTCTCATATGGCCAGTGGCAGCATAGTTTTCTTTCAAATTCTGTGTGCATTGGAAATTAGTAACACAGATAAATCTTGAAGACATAAGTAAAATAGCTTTTGGTAGTTTAAAATAAAAATTATCTTATATTTTAATATGTATTCACCAGTTTCACTCACTGTGCTTGGTGCAATTTGATAATAAGTTTTTATCCACCCTGAAAAGTTTTATTTTTGGAGAAAGTGCAGTTTGATTCTAGGCAACTCAATTGTGAAAATGCACAAGTTGCCATTCATTGCAAAGCAACTAATGTTTCAATAATCATGCATTAAAAGAAAATGATTGCAGTTGATGTGCATGGAAACATCAAAGTTCATTAAGTCCCATTAGTGTCATGAATATTTTTAGTATCCTCCACTGCTGGATGGTGAGATAGCACCAACCTACATGACAGCTTGCGAGGGATTTCTCTCTCCAGCAGGGCACCACCCCTGCTGGGACAAGCTCTAAGCTCCCAAAATGTGTGCAGTTCATGACCTGTTTTTTAGGGTACATTAGTTAACAACTTATGTAGTATTTAATGGCGTTACCTACGTGTGTATGTATAAAAAATGCCCTGAGAAAAAATATTTACCACTTTGGGAGGAATTTTCTTCGGCTTCCCTTTTCTCTTAGTTTTTCTTGTTTTGGGGTCCACTTTTTTAACTGTCGTTTTAACAGGTATTTTGCTAATATTTCCACTCGCTTCTGGTTTTGCACCTGTCAAAAATAATTGAAAAATTAGAAGAATTAGAATTATCAAAGACAATAGCATGAAACATTTCTTAATAATCAGAAAGATGATTTACTCTGTTCTGAATCTGGTATAAGTTTGTATCGATATTCAGAACATTTGACGGTGAGATTTAACTTACAAATACATTGTTTTTCTCATAAGTTAACTAATCATTACTACAATATTTCAAAAATACTATAGTTATCATTAACTTTCATAACACACTAAAATCAACCACAATTTGAACTTCGAAAAAGATTACGTGCCTATTTTACCTGCCCAATCAAACACTAACATCAGCAGTAGGCAACGTTTTCAATGGCAGATAAAATAAGCGAACGAAACCAGCCGGAGGCTGCTTCTCATCAGAAAATAGTTTCATTGGTGGCTGCACACACGTGTGTGTGTGTGTGTGCACAAAATTCTTTTCTCAATAAGGTTCTATATGCATCAGGTAGCAATGCGCCATCGCACATATTACAGCAACCTTCATGGGCAAAATTTCACGAAGTATTTATAACATACATAAAATTATGACTTCTATATAGTAACAAGGTAACGGAAGAAGAAATTCATGTAGAAGAGTGGGTCAAAGTGTCAGGAGCACCCAATGAAGTAAACAGGAAAGTTTTGGGAGAAACAAAGGAAAGAGGTTTCATCAATAAGGAAATGTGATGGTGAAATGAAGAAATGCAAGCAGCATTGAAAGAAAAAAGCAATATAAAACATGTCAGAAATCCTGTAATCAGCAAGATCTGAATGGCTACAAGAAGGAAGGCTAACAAGGCAAAGAAAGCAGTGAATATTGCAAAAGCCACGGCTTACAATAAATTGTACGATAAGTTAGAAACAACAGAGGGAGAAAAGATTATTTAAAGCTTTCGAAGGTAAGAGAGAGCGCTGCATGAAGGATCAAAACCATCAAGTCCTGTCTAGTGAGGAGAAAATAAAGAAGCGACGGAAGATGAATTTCCAGAAACTTTTCAATGAAGAAAATCCCAGGGATGCTTGTGAAAATCAACCTCTAAACCAGGGACTTGTACTTAGGCAATGTACTTGTACTTGGCAATATTAGAGATTGAAAATGCCATGGAAAAGATGAACGGTAAGGTCCTGGGATCCGACAACATCCCTATTGAGGCATGGAAAAGTTTACGCAAAGACGGGATGACGTTAACCTTTTTGACAGGACATTAGAAACAGGAAATATGTTGGGATTATGGAGAAGTAATTGTGTCCCTGTGTTTAAAAACACAGGAGATGTGCAAGAATGTGACAATTACAAAGGTATAAATCTCATGAACCATGCAATGAAGCTCTGGGAGAGAGTGATAGACACAAGATTATGAGAAGTAACAGAGAACCAGTTTGGATTCATGACTGAATGGTCAACAACAGGTGCAATAGTTGCTCTTAGAGAATGCTGATGGAAAAATACACAGAGTTTCAGAAAGACCTCCATATGATATTTATTGACCTAAAAAAGGTGTATAACAAGAGTGCCACAGGATCTTATTTAGTGGGCATCGAGAAAAAAGAAGGTCCCAAACACATGTCAGGCTAATTCAATAAATGTATGATTCATGTACGACATTTATTCATTGGGCTTGTGGAACAACCAAAGAGTTCACAGTCAAAGTAGGACTGCATCAAGGATCTAGTCTTAGTCCATACCTCTTGTCCTAGTTATGAATGAGTTTACGAAAGAATTTCAAGAGTTAGCACCTTGGACTATGCTGTTCACAGATGACATCATGCTGGTGAGTGAAAACAAAGAAAGATTCTCTTTTCAGGAAAGAAAAATTAGACATCTGGAAACGAGCACAGGAAAGAAATAGGCTGAGAGTTAGCAGATCCAAGACTTGAGTACTTCCATTGTCCATTCAGTACAAAAGTGAGAGGAAACCCAGCAATATGGCTGGATGGAGAAGAGGTGGTAACAAGACTGATTCAAATACCCGGGATCAATATGAAGGAAAATGAAAAGTTTGTATTAGGGAAGATGTATGTCAGAGTGGTGTTACAGTGGATACGGCGGAAAATAAAAATAGTTTGAGAGTAGCGATCCGAAAATACACCCATAATTGTATTAATTTTACAAGGCAGATGTTTCATCTCCAACTATGACATGAAGGTGCCTATACACAATTTGACATTTCAACACACATTGCGGACACGGATAATACTAATTTAACAATTAATGGGCAATGTGATGGGTTTGTTTTCTTCTAAAATAGTTTAGAAATTCGTAAGTTTCTCGAAATTGTTCAAATTTTATTGTCTCTTCCTCTCTCTTTTTTAGTTCAGGAAAAACTGCAACCATAATCATGAACCCAAAACAGTAGTAGAAATGAAGAAAGTCATTCAGTGCACTCCACTGATTGATGCATTAAGTTGCAGAAATCTCATCACATTATGAAGCATTAATTATCATACACACAAACATACTTTGAATTAAGGCTTCATGTTCTCTTTTCAGGCACTGCCACCCATGGTGTCCCGTAAATGTGACATCCTCAACATCAAAAAAACATTTATTTATGCCCAAATAAAAATGTTCATTGGGATTGTAGTGCAATTTTACACATTACAGAAGGGAACATTGCACAATAGACTATTGATATGCTTGATGGTTTTTAGTAGTTACAAGTTTTGTTACATAGGACAGCTGATTTTTTCGGCTGTCCTGTACATATTGGAGGGATAGCTGATTTCATTCTTATGTCACTATAGGTTTGCCAACAAAACAAACGTATATATTCTCAGTTCGTTCCGACAACCCTCCTAATCTAAATTAGTAGTATTCAGTGTTGTTTGTTGTTCCAACATGAATTAGATGACTTTGTCAAATATTGTGGGAAATGAGGCATTTGTGTTGTGTACTGTGTTCAAAAGTACAGTGTCGTGAACATCAACATGTTCCCACACAAATGCCATGTGCAGATAGTGGGACATTATTATCTGGGAACTGGGAACAGAGGGAAGGAATTTGGAGACAGATAACAGAGGAAACACTTGAAAGCCAATGGGGCCCCTTTCGTCATTATCTCTCGTGCAGTAGTTTATGCCAAAATGATTTGGATAGCTATCTCGTGGAATATTTGCAACAAAAATATTGCAAAAGTGGGTAGATCCATTCCTGTTTCCAGTTCAATGTTGTAATATTGCATTTTGAGGTTTGTGATTTTTCTAAATAAAGTTCTTATATTGTTAAACTGTTTTATACACACCGTGGAATATTTTCCTTCATTGCTTTACTTTATACTTTTCACATGAATACAAATATATGTAAGTTTCCATAAGTTGGTAGTTGCATGGTGCAGAAGGGCATGACTTGTTTGAAGGTTGGTACCAAGCCAGAAGATGAGTGCAATGCGCTGCATCCCCCAAAACATTAATAATATTCCGTATTTTGATTTAAAAAAAAAAGAAAAAAAGAAAGAAAAAAAGAAAATTCATATCATGAAAAAAGAGTAAAAATTCACAAACTACATGTGAAGAATTTTTTGAACTAAATGAACTTGGGAAATGCCACCAACAAGAGAATACAAAACTTGGTCATACTGAATACACCATACAACCTACAATATTGCCCTGATGGCATCCTATAATCTGTTGTTGTTTTTTTTATTGTAATTAGGGCATATATTATGTTCAATTTTCTCAACAATTTTTTTCTAAGTCATTATCAGAGAGGCAATTTTGTAGCATGGAAATCTGTCTTCATCACTCCATACTGTCATACTTGACATGATTTGGTCCAAGTAATAACTTTGTAGGTTGGCTCTGGTAGAGGTTAGTGGCTAACAAAACCATCGGTTCTAATGGCAGCACTAAAGACAAACTGCCTGTGAGCAGAATGGCATTTAATATTGATGCTTGGCTATCGTGTCTTATATTTAAATCTTATATCTTAATAGCTGGACATTTGAAATTTATTTCTAAACTGTTAAATTATAAAATGGATTGAACTGAATTATTTAAGAACTGAAATTGAAAGTACACATTAAGAAATTTAGACAAAGGCTATTATTCATGGTAGATACTTTCAAATCACTTTACACCAGAAACAGTACATTGGAATAAATGTAGAAGCACGTATATATTCTATGTATTGATTTGTTTGAAATTTCCAGAAGTGAATAAGCTGCTGTAATCTACTGAGAAGTTTTAGATAAGAACAAGTAGCACTTGCATCGTTATCTTTTTTATCTTGCAATGGTTTTAAGGGCTGTAATTAATTAAGTTCGTACGTATATATAACAGTCCTTTTAACCATATTACCGTTTTTAACTGTTATTGTTGTAACGGTTACATTGTTACCATGGCACTGACATTTCATTAAAAACTACATATCTACAAATAGGTGTAAACAGAAATTTTATATTGCTCATTTAATTACGTTTTGTTGTCTATTGAATGAATGTTATCTATTTTCTATTAGATGGTAGATAATAGTATTTTAGTATTAACTGGGTAAATTGAACTGTGCTTTTAGTTTAAACAGCCAACACCCTCAGTGTTCACTGTTAATAACTTTATTCTTACGATAAAACTAAAGTGTACTTGAGGACAGATGTTACAAATTGTAGGCTAGATATCTAATTCATTTCCTATAATTTAAAATTTACAAATACCAATTTAAAGTTAAAATTTGGTCTTAATTGACAACTGCTCTTCTCTTTCATCAACTGCCAAATGGCACATATATAGAAGTTTAAATCACAGTACTAATAATATAATGTTAAATAACGTTTCTTCCATTTTTAGGTTCTCCCAAGGTTAAAAGTGCAAGCACAAAGAGCAAGCCACACCACAAGAAACAACAACAAATTCAATTCAGTTTCGCAATACACTGTAGCACTAAGGTAACATATCAAATACTTATAAGCATAATAGGTGACTTAACAAAGCCAAAAAATCTTAACAATGTCAGAGAAAATATCTAATCTGTTCTTAAACTGAACTTAAAAGAGCACTTACTTGAATTTTCTTCTTGACCCCCGTCCTCTTTGGCTAAATATTCATAAACGTCAGCTGAATTATCAAGAATTTCATCCAGGATGTTAACCTCGTCTACAAACAAAAAATTTGGCACTCTTTTAGTAGCACATAAAAATATGTGATATTAGAAACAGAATTACACATGAAATATGCAAATAACTACAAGTCATACAATTATTTCTAAATGGAATAGAACATAATAAAACCAAACTTGAGAAAATAAGTAGATTAAAATTATGTGATTTTCTCAAAACAGAACATGCCAAGGATGAATAATACATCCACTAACAATTCCAAATAATCAACCTGACCCTTGGACCCAAGAATCTTAAACTAAGTGGATATCCTTAGCATCTCAAGAGAATAATTATATTTCCATAAAATGCTCGAAAGTATTTCAACTTCGTAATTTCAATTGAGTAAAAGTCTTCTCATTCTTTCTAGATATGTATTTGAAAATTAACAATTTTTCACAAGTAAAGAAAATGTACTTCTCTAAAAGGAAGCAAATTTACAAACAAAAAATAGATCTACAAAATAGTTATACATGCATTGTCAAGATACCTCAATGAAAATAAGTTAAACTAATAAGATTTTAAAATAGTACACCACAAAAGAGCATTGCGGTTCATGCACAATAATAGTAAAATATATGTATATATTTGCATAAAATGAAAAGAAAAATAACTTCAAAATTCTGTTGAATACTATACATAAACATGAATGAACTCTCGCCACCAAGCTTTCTAACACTTGCTGAAAACAGTTCCTTGTTTCACTTAACTATAACAATTTTCCACCTCCCAACAATAATTACAGTATTGCACTGTTTCTTTTTCATTTTTTTTTATTTCTGTTTTTATACATACACCAAGTGAATCATTCTGTCAACAATAACGCAGATAGACATTTGTTCATTTTCTGTAGAACACTCTAGTACACAATACAGAAGCCCTGTCTGTTGGAGAAGCACAGAGGCCCTGTTGTAATACTCATTACAATTTTAATTCCAGACCTCAAACACATACTTTTATCCATTATACAATGAAGTAATCCATGCCCTTTTCATCCACATTGGTATACATTTAATCAAAATAAATGATAATTTCAAAATTGTTTTGTATGTACTTTCTGAACAAAAGTAGATGACATTATACACAAAACTTCTCATATTTGAGACATTAAAGTTTTTAAGCCCCAAATTTTTAAACAAAATATATTGAATCCGCTGACCATGACTGAAATTATCAAAATAACGTAAATAGCAATTGCATTTACCTCAATTGTAAAAGCATTCTTTGTTCACACTATGCAAATACCAAAGAACCAATACTGAGGATAAAATTTGAAAATCACGCTATAATTATTGCCCGGCCAGTTGCAAAATGGACATAACATACTAACATAACGTATCAAAACAAGACACTGCACACAGTGTTCAATTATTGACAAATGATTAGAAGGCCCCAGCATTTACATTCGTCACTCACCTTTGTTTTCTTCACTCATCTTCATTAAGAACTAGATATATTTCATGGTTTTGGTCCTTTCGCGTGTTATATAAAATGCTCACAGTAAATGTATCCTCCTGATCGAGTTAATTAATCACAAAAGAAATTATTTAAAAAGTAGTTATCCACTTTCAACCACCCTAATACTCAACTTTTAGGTTATTGACCACTCAAATTCGACAAGAGCCAAAGTATAACAAAATTTATAAACCTTAAATGCATTAAGCACTATCTATTCTCTCCAGAAAACCATCCGCAACAAAACACAATCCTAATCTACACGAACTGCTGAAACCTATTAGACAAAATTTCAAAAAACAACACTAATGAAACTGGCCAAATATCCTTTATCCAAATATACCGTTCGCCATCATTTGGTACCAAAGAACGCCGTTTACAATATTCAATGACGTTTTAGCTCAAGATCAAAGACTTTCTATCAGTAAGTCAGGTTTGTACCAAAGAGTATGGTTTGTACTAAACGTTATGTGAATAGTGTATGAATAACCCGCCAGATGTCGCGCTATTGTGTGTAGACACGAGTTTTAATGTATGGGTAATTCCACGAACTCAGCATGACGGAACACCCGATCATCTCAGATTTTTTTTAAAACGACAATAACTTTGTTTGATATGTTGCAAAGATTTATTTGCCAAATTTTCAGCCTTCTACGATAATAATTTTCTGTTTCATAAGCAATAGATTTTGAATGAAAAAAAGTATAACTATGTGCAAATCATTTTAATTGAAATTGATTTATTCATAAATTGTGTTATTTAATTTTAACATGTATTAGATATAATCAACAATATTTGACGGGATATTTATTTTATTTTTTTTCTTAATTAAATCAAATGCCAGAGAATAATTTTCTTCAGTTCTTATGTTTTTACAATGTATAATACAGTCTGAGCGAGGGACACACTCATGGAAGTTCCGTGTACCTGGAACTTATCCTTTTTTAGCAAATTCGCTAATTTAACTAGAATGTAATAAAATTGTGTTTGCAAATATCACACAGTGATTTTTCATTCAATTTCTATTCAGAAATATGCAGTTTTCCAAGATTTTAGCGAAAGAAATGAGTAAAATAAAATAGGTATCTCTACAACCGTGTGTACCCAATAAAATCAATGAAAAATGATTTCAGATGCAATTCTCCACAAAATGTTTAATATTATGAAAGTATAAAAACAAATACTTATATAGTTGTTTCATAATTTTAAAAATATGAGCAACATGATTTTTTTTTATAAAAAATTGCCTTTTTTCAAAATACCGCCATTTTGTCTAGTAGACTAGAAATTTACAATTGAAAACGCCACCAATCGGTTCTTTGATATATTTTCATTCAGTATGAATGTATTTTGGTGTGTTTTGCGAGGTAAATTGACTCATTATGAGTAAAACAAAATTAAGTATGTCTAAAATCGCCTTTTATACATTCTAAATCTATTGTTTGTGAAATACAAAATTATTATTGAAGAAGGCTGAAACTTTGGAAAATAAATCTTTGCAACATATCAAACAAAGTTATTGTCGTTTTAAAAAATCTGAGATGGTCGGGTGTGTGGTCGTGCTGAGTTCGCGTGGAATTACCTGCATAGCTTTAGAGTAGTATCATACATTAATGTATTTATCCAGATTTAGATTTATTTAGTTAAAAACTGTAAAAATGGTATTGACGTATGGGGGAGAAGATCATTTGCGCATTATATTGAGTTCCAGAATCCCTTCCGATCATTTTAACTATAAATAATTGAAAGATGAGTAAAAGTTAAAGATGAATAAAAATTAAATTTCAAAATTCGCGAGATTATCAATATTTAAAAATACAGTCATTTTCGTTCCCGAGTTATAGAAAACTTATTTGCAACAGTAAACTAATTGCAGATATGATTTTACTGCATTGCTAACAAAATATTAACTCGCCCTTACCTCTACTCCTACCACTACAAACAAAGAAGAGTTCAACAAAACGTGCGCATAGAGAAGCTATATTTACGCCCAGAAGCAAAACAAGGGTCCATCTCAGCATTTGCTCAATGAATCAGGGAAACTGGACAAAATTCTGATCGAGATGGGGGTCATCGACGCTGATCGAAGCTGAAGTACAAAGCCAAATCGATGTTTAAGGCACGAGATTATCCAATCTAGGGCGATACCACGAATTCCATAAGAAGGTAACTTTAATATCAAGATGGTATGGTCGATAACGTCAAAAGCGTTCAAAAGATCAAAAAAATATTCCAATGGGTGCTTCATTTTGGTCCATTGATGAAGCAACATCTTTAAGAAAAGAAAAAATGGCAATTTCCGTAGATTTTGATTTTCTAAAACCGTGTTGTGAGTCGCTTCGTTTTTTCTCAGAAACGTTTCCATTCGCGTATAGAAAAACCTCTCTAATATTTTAGAGAAACCTGAGAAAAGAAAAATTGGTCGGTAATTTTGAATTTCATTTCGTCCTCTTTTTTAAAATGTGACTTAATTTTTGCTGTTTTGAAAATATCTGGAAATATACCTGTACATAAAGAACCATTGAAAATGTGAGTTAACGGGTGTATAATGGCAAGTATACAAGTTTTCATTAAACTATTCGGAAATTCATCTAAACCAGATGAAAATTTATATTTTAGTTTACTGACTATTCTCAGGATTTCGTTAGAAGGTGTGTCGGATATAAACATCGTGTTGAAATTTTTTTGGGAATGATGTTGAATTTTACGATTTTAGTCCCTTCGAGAGTTCAAACGCAATTCTAAAAAGTGTTGATTTAAGAGATTTTCCACTTTTTTCGGATTACTTGCTTCTCTTTCATTATCCTTTAAAACAACATTCTCCACTTCGAGATGATTAGGTCGTATTTTTTACGATATTCCACATTGCTTTACTTTGTTACTAGCGCTCAAAATATCCTGATTATTTTCCATTATTTTTGCCAGAACTATTACTTTCCTTAAAATTCGTTTGTATTCTCGGAAGTAAACATGGAAACATTATGATGTTTAGAAATAAAGTAAAGGGTATGTATATTTTTACAAGATGATCTAATTCCTTGTGTGATCCAAGTATTATTTTTCCGTGAATATTTATTTTTTTCTTTTTGAGAGGAAAGCATGCGTTGAAGTGAAATGAAGGGTTTGAAAAAAATAGATTATATTTTTCATTTGTGTCAACAGTGTTATAAACTGTGTCCCATGATTTCTTCAGCAAGAACTCCGTAAATAATTTTATGTTAACTTTTGTGAATGCTCTGCACACGAGTGTACTATTTATTGTGTCAGTGTTCATGTTATTAGTAATTGTAAAAATTTGTGCATCGTGGTCACTGTAACATAGATTAGTAGTTTTTATTTCATATCTAGTTGTGGTTTTGTTAATTATAATTTGTTCTATTGCTTTTTGTGATTTAAATGTATTCCTTGTAGGTGCACTCACTGTAATATCTAAATTAAAAGAATGCAGAAAATTGAGAAACTGCTCTTTTTCGTGGGATTCGCTCAGAAAATCAATATTGAAACATCCACTTATAACAATGGATTTAAAATATAGATTACTAATTTTGTTCAGAGTTATCTCTAGATTTTCTAAGAAAATGAAATTATCTAAAGCTCGCTTGTTGGAGGCCTGTAGATGAAAAGTAAGATAGATGCAAAAGAATTTCAATGTAATTAAAGTAATAGATCTAAAATGCAAACTAATATATACAATTAGATCACTATAGTTAACTTATTGTAAGGTCACGAAATTCACCACTTTTATATTCGACAATTTGAATCACAAAAGTCACGTTTTCCGTAACTGTTATAGACGAAACTTTGACTTTAGATGTTTTTCAAAATTATCACAACACTTTTACTAATAGTTTAAAACTTTACGCAAATCTAAATTTCTTTATAGAGCAAATAAGTATTGGAAGTTTTTAAATGCGTTCAAATCCAAGTTTGTCCGTTTCACCGTATTTAAACCAATATATGTATTACTTCTTTTTCACGGCTTGGAACAACATAAATCTCTTTCCAGCATATCTGTAACGAGTAAACCAGCAAAGAAAACAATTTAACAACAAAAGGTACCTGAAATATGTAGAAAAGTCATGAAAATTAAGTCAAATATTGGAGCACAGACAGAGCACGTCAATCACGTAAGTTCAATGTTGAGATAGCTTGATACTCATCCTTGGTAGTAAAATGTTGAGATAACTGGTGGCTTACGGCGATATCAGAACCCTCAATCAGGGTTCTTACACGGAAATCATCGATATGGATTCAAGTAAAGAAGAAACAGATACTAATGATAGTGTTACTGCAAAGGGGCTTCTAAACAATACGTAACAAATTCTGGCATATTGTATCTTGCACAACTACAAACTAAACGCGATTTTTCTAACATTTTTCGTGAACCGCAACGCAAGCTGGAAAGACAAATGATATCAGAGAGTCTTTCCCAAAGTTCTTTACTCTGAACATTATTGAAATTATTATTCAACATACCAACGAAGAGGCAGTAAGAAGAAATATTTCTCCTATAAGTGAAACCGAATTATATGCTTGATTTTGATTGGAATTAACCAAGATGCGAATATTTCAATACACGATTTATGGTCACAGTTGTGGGTAAGAACTATTTATCAAGGATCTATGAGCAAACATAGAATACTTCAAATCGTATCAGTTCTACGTTTTGATGATAAACTTTCCAGAACTGTAAGACGCAATAAAGACAAATTTGCTCCTTTCAGGGAGATATTTGAACGTGTGAATCAAACATTCACAAAAAATATTCAAAAGTGGACCTCATAATTCCATTGATGAAATGTGTCTTCTTTGAGGTCGATGCCCATTTAAAGTCTTCATGAAAGACGAGCTAGATAAATAATGTCCGAATTTTCAGTAGTGCAATTACTATAAATTTTTACTATAAATTCGGAAGTGACGCAGGAAAAGATAGTCTTTGATCATTAGAA